TTTTTTTTTTTTTTTTTTCTTTCGAGAAAGGACCCAGTGCCGAAGGCTCCAATTATGAAATTGATTACAACACTTATACACACGCCTGTTCTCATTAGGGCTGGAAGAGCCTCAGCCACTGCTCCCCAGGAGACACTTTCCCTGTATAACATGCATATAGCATGAACACGGGGCATTGATTTTTTTTTTTTTTTTTTGGGACAAAAGCTCCAATCTATTCGTGGGAAGCATCACGTGCTGAGAACTGGGCTCAGCGTCCCTTTGAAATACAACTGAGAATATGTAACATGAAAATTGAGATACCGGGGCCATTACCCGGCTTTGGCTAAGAAAAATTTGAGTTACTTAACAAGTTACTACGTCAGACTTCAGAGAAATTCAGAAAACCGACTCAAACCCCCCCATCAATCCTCTTTACCACACTCCGGCAAGACTTACTGCAGCAGAGCCACCATCTCCGCTACTGCTGTGCCCTATTTCCGTCCTACGAGCTAGCACGGGGCATTGATTGCTTCCCCAGTGAGGAAGGATTAACCCCGTTTTGTGGAGAATCAAACTCTGCCCTACACTCCTCAATTACCCCTGCTTTAATCTTCTGCAGGAGTGGGGGAGATACCATTAGGGCAAAGAGAATGACAACAGAGCAAAAGAGTTCAGTAATTCATTAAAAAATAGGTCGAGCTTAAGCAACAGTAGTTAACACAGACGCAGACCAAAGGGGAGCACACTAATTGGAATTTTTTTATTCTATACCTACAGATCATTAAACAAGTCCAACTCTAGATGATGATGACCAACGTGTCATGGCACCCCAGCGCTACGTAATCTGAAGACAGGATTCATCCAGGGCTGGACGTAACCGCTGTCAGATACATTCTAGAAATTGGTAGCGCCACAAAACGAACATATGCAGCTACCATCCCATCAACCGTCTCCCAGTGGTCTTACGACAACAGAATGGCCAGGGGAATCATGACAACACAGGCCTATTAGCAGGACCTGATGGAAGAATTGGATTGATGATCACCACGCTTCATGACAACACAGGCCTATTGGCAGGACCTGATCGATGAATTGGATTGATGATCACCATGCTTAGATCTTAAAGTCTTGAGGGGGGCTGCAGATTCCTGGAATTGGGCTGGTCAAGTGGGTTAGAGGAAGAGTAGGAGGGATATCCTGCAATTTCCAGGAAATGGGCTGGGCCAGGGAAACGAAGGAGCCCTAGAAAGGGATGGGTAACATTTGCAGCTCCTTGGGTAAGATGGGGCTCCGGGAAACGAAGCGCAACGGCCGCAGCCCCGGGAACTAACATAAACAAAAAAGCACTGTGTTCAGATGATATATCCAAGGGACGCTGGATCCGGTTTCCAACAGTTGCGACTCCCCCCCAATAGATCCAGCAGCCCGGCAGCCAAGGCCTCAATTCCAGTGGCTCTCTTACCACCGTGGGGATTGAGACCTTGCAAATGGGCTTTTCACAAAAAAAAGAAAAAAAGAAAAGAAAAAAAAAAATGATCACCAAAGCATTAGGTAACAGAATGATCTTGGACATAGAGAACACCATCCACCCAACTCAGAATGGCTTTCATGCGAAGTAGGAACATCCAAGATAATGTGCTCCTCGTAAACGAGACGATTAAGGTAGCACGCAAATCTAAACACAACGTGGCGCTGGTATCCATCGACTTCAAGAAGGCATATGAACACGTGGACTGGCTGTTTCTCAACAAAAGCCTCGACAAACTCAACTTCTGTGGCCCCAAATTTCGGACTTGGGTAGAGATCCTACACCATAATCCTTAGCCTAGGTTGTTGTAGAGATTGGGTTTCTAGACAAATGAGGGGTGCCTTCGGCACTTGGCTATGCGGTATTCCTATGGAACTTCCCTTCCAACCTAACACTCTCGTAATTTCCGCCGGCGCACCTCTACTCCCACGTTCCTACCTTATCCACTAAGGACCATCACCTTACAGTCTATTACAGACAGAGGTGACCTGACCGGACAGTGGTCGCGGATACCGGACTAAGAAGAGCCCTACTTACTCTATACAGTCCTGATCGAAGCATAGTCGTCCGAAACTTGCCGCACGGGTACTTCGGGCGCTAGGACTAGCCATATCTCTACAGGTCCAATAGCTATGTTATTCCGATATTCTTTTGTGTGGTGATGATAGAGAGCTGGGTATCCTCCGTTCCCTCGTGTGTACCTGGAGCCCATTCCGGCCCCCTGGTAAATAGGTTAGGTTATTTGCATGATTCACATGAGGACCTGTGTTCGATACGAGATCATGACTTCCGACTGGTCATCCTCCTAGTACGCAGTCAAGAGTTGCGGCTGGCATAGCAGTTCCTTAGTACGGGATATCAGGGGTGTCGGGAGATACTGCACCTTACCTCGAGATAATCGGGACTAGATGACGGGTAAGGAGGAAGTCCCTACGAGCTCCATACCTGGACGGCGGCGTGGGGGACTTAGCCACATTCCACATATCAACCCCGGTTTCATCATTTTGGCCACTGTGAAGGGGGAGAAGCACAAAGATGCGTGAGCGCCAAAAAGGAGCAGAGGGGGAGGGAAAGGTAGTTCCATTCCATGCTCTAGAACGGGAGGAATGTGGGGTGACAGTTGAGAACAGAATTGAGGTGGTGAGGAGCAGAGGGGGAGGGAAAGGTAGTTCCATTCCATGCTCAAGAACGGGAGGAATGTGGGGTGACAGTTGAGAACAGAATTGAGGTGGTGCAGGGAGTGAGGTAAAGGGGATTGATGGGGGATTTCTGAGTCGTTTTCTGAACTTTGCCTAATTCTGAAGTTTGTCCTAGTAATTTGCTAAGTAGCTCCAATTTTTCTTAGCCAATGGCCCCGGTATCTCAAGCTTTCAAACTTCTATGTAAATTTTCATATGGGATGCTGGGCCCGGTTCCCAGCACGTGCTGCTCCCCACGAATAGGTTGGAGCCTTGTTCCCCCCCCTCCAAAAAAAAAACAAAAAACAGAGAGAGCGTGAGTGCCCAAGGCTCCAATTACAAATTTGATTACAAGCTTATACCCACGCCTCTTCCCATTAGGGCTGAAGAGCCTCAGCCACTGCTCCCCTGGAGACAGCTTCCCTGCATAACATGACTGTAGCATAATCACGGGGCATTGATTGCTTCCCCAGGTGGGGAAGGATTAACCCCATTGTGTGCAGAATCAAGCTCCGCCCTACCGTGAGGAGTGGGGGAGACTCGAATAATGCATAGAACTTGATTGCAGGGCGAGATAGTTTTGCAGTTTATCAGTAGTTATATTGAGCTTCCCCCACGATCGTAATTAACTACAAACCACTCAAGTGGAGGAAAGCCCTCTTGCAGACAAATTCAAAGCAATATACCCACGTCGCAGGAGAGCAAAACAAAGACATATACAACCCGGATGCCTAACACCACTGCACCTCCTACCCTGCCACGTGGTGAAAATCCAAGTTTATAGAAAATTGAAAAAAGGTTTTGCAGTGTATCAGTAGTTATATTGAGCTTCCCCCACAATCGTAATTAACTACAAACCACTCAAGTGGAGGAAAGCCCTATTGCAGACAAATTCAAAGCAATATCCCCACGTAGCAGGAGAGCAAAACAAACTACATATACAACCCGGATGCCTAACACCACTGCACCTCCTACCCTGCCACGTGTTGAAAATCCAAGTTTATAGAAAATTGAAAAAAGGCCAACTCGCAATACTGACGTGACAGAACACAAGTCAATCGCATAGGCATCGGTGCCGATCTTCCCAGCGCCTCCTTCCCTGCAACGTGACCAAAATGTAGAAACAACAAAAACTGAAATCACATATTCCACATGGCATATCGCTGAACTACCACATGGGCAAACCCTACCCGCCCTGTTGCCACGTGGCCAGCCAATGGAAAAACAGACCAATCACATGCCACCCTATCCCCCTTGGTGATCTGGCAGTCACTATCCCACCCCTTTACTCCACCATCCCACTTCTCGCTCCCCCGCCCATCCTTCTGGTTTGTCGAACAATCCATTCGGCCTACCCAGTCGCCCTTCCCCCCAGTCAACCCCGAAAAAGCGTGAGAAGACAAGCAAGAGGGGAGGGAGAAGGGGGGGGGGAAGAGGATGCCCAATCGCCCTTACCACAGCGTCAATATTATCGTTATTTTTGTTGTTGTTATTGTTGTTGCAACCAGCAGTCTTGTGAGTAGTTGCGTCCGCAAACCTTGTTGCCGTTATTTGAGACGACGCATTCGTTACTAATGTCGGTGATGGTAGAGACGTAACTGACACTGCTGCAGATGCAAGTGGTGAGGTCGACGCTGTCGTGTTGATGGTTGATGAAATCACCGTTGGTGATGTTGTTGATGTAATCGACGCCACTGCAGATGGCGTCATCGCAGGCACTGTTGTGGTTGATGTCATTGATGCTTGTCGCTGTCGCTGAAATCATAGTCGTACGCGCCGTCACTGTTGTTGAAACGGTTATCCCTATTGTAGATGTTTCAATCGACAGCCTCTCCTTCAACTGATCGTAGTAATCTACTCCCTGGCTGAAAATCATGTTACAATTGGTTATCAGTGTGCCAGCCAGCTGCCAGTCTAGAAAAAGCTCCGGTGCTGGATCCTCGAGAATCTGCCAGAGGATAGTTGACAGTTGTCGGTACTTATCCTCCAGCCATGTGGTCATGGTAGATCCCCCCCAATCCACCACCGACCCAGCCTGGGCCACGGAGGCCAAGGCTCCAACAATCTGTTGCATATGCTGTTGCGTGTCTTCCAGCTCGGCCACCCATTCATCTGCTTGCCGTTGAAGATTCTCGGATAAACCTGTCTCCTGTAGAAGCTCCACGTGCGTTGTTCCCTGCGCAAGGACGCCTTCTCCACGCTGACCACGAGATGCCACCATCTCGCCTACCCCTCCACCTGCCTCTTCAGTCAATCCCGGTCGCTCCATTGCTGACTGACCTAAGAGCAGACTTCAGTGGTGACGTCAACGTCTTCCGTCTTCCTCGGTAACTCCGAAGCGTTGGGTTTCAAGACCGCCGACCCCGTCGGCCGGTTCGTTCCCCGCGCGCTCGCGCCAACCATCCTCCCCGTTTCCTTTCTCTCCCTTGCCAGAGTCAACGCACCTTGCGCGAGCACGAAGCAGAGTTCAGTGGCACTTTGTAGTGTAAGTTTGTACCCAAGCAGAAAATAGCAAGCCTAAAATCCCATGCTAATTCAAATCCTAATTCGAAGAGAAACCCCATTCATATGCGCGAGCCACCACGTGGCCCACAGGAATTCAAAATTCAAATGTTATTCCGCGCTGGCTATTGCACCAAAATAATCTCCCCCTGAACCATGCAAAAGTTCCAAGCAAAAAGAGAAAAAGATGCACGTCATCGTTTGTTCGCGCTTGCTGAGGTGCAGCGTCGTAACTGCCGAAACGAAACCAGTCTCAAGTTGCAAAAATTATCGCCCACGACGTTACAACTTGGGCTATTGCAAAAGGGAATTTCAAGAAAAGCAGGGGCGAATCCTGAAAAAGAAAACAGCGCCGAGAAAGTTTATGGGCCCACTTCGGGCTGATCTCACTTTGCACAGAATTGTGCGCACATGCAGAAAATAGATCATCACAAAGGGGGAGGGAAAGGTAGTTCCATTATGTTGGGTGACAGTTGAGAACAGAATTGAGGTGGTGCAGGGAAAGACGGCATGAAAGACTCCTTGCGCGAGCACGAAGCAGAGTTCAGAGGCACTTTGTAGTGCAAGTTTGCAACCAAGCAGAAAATAGCAAGCCTAAAATCCCATGCTAATTAAAATCCTAATTCAAAGAGAACCCCCATTCATACGCGCGAGCTACCACGTGGCCCACAGGGATTCAAAATTCAAATGCTATTCTGTGCGGGCTATCGCACCAAAATAATCTCCCGCTGAACCATGCAAAAGTTCCAAGCAAAAAGAGAAAGAGATGCACGTCATCTTTTGTTCACGCTTGCTTGAAGAAATGCGACAAAGTCTTCGAGGTGCGGCGTCCTAACTGCCGAAATGGAACCAGTCTCAAGTTGCAAAAATTATCGCCCACTACGTTACAACTTGGGCTATTGCAAAAGGGAATGTCAAGAAAAGCAGGGGCGAATCCTGAAAAAGAAAACAGCGCTGAGAAAGTTTATGGGCCCAATTGGGGCTGATCTCACTTTGCGCAGAATTGTGCGCACATGCAGAAAATAGATCATCACACCCTAGATTGATTTTCGATCAGCTCCAATCTCTTTCCGATTTTCAAAAACGCCATACCTACAGCCTCTGTTCACAGGGTTACAGAATTCTCTAGGGGTGGGGGTCTCCTGAAGTAGTGGTTCACCAGTCCATCCAAGCCTTGTTTTTCCGGTGCAGATTTCTGCTGCGTGCCAAAACAAGGATCTGGCGTGGGTGCAAAATTGCCACGCACTACCGGTCTTTTTCCGATCCGGATTTACCTGAACAAACTGATGTATGTTCATATGGGACACTGGGCCCGGTTCCCAGCACGTGCTGCTCCCCACGAATAGACTGGAGCTTCTTTCTGGAAAAAAAAAAAAAAAAAAAAAAAGAAGCCTTTTCCAATCTCTAAATCATCTCCGGATTTTCGTCTGGGACCCGTAAGACTGGTATTTGAAGGGTCAAGTGAGGGAGGGTGGTATTCATCCATTGCTTCACCACGAGGTCCGAATGGCCTACACCATGATGTTGCTGCGGGTAGATATCTGTTGGGAAGTGTACAAGGCCTGGCGATGAAAGGCTTTTTTTTTTTTTTAATCCCTT